TACAGAAACAGTACTATATAACATTTTAGACACATTCTAGACAGTTTATCAGCTAAAAAAAGTTAATTTTGGGGTAAGTTACTCTTTAAATGTGTAAATGCCTAATGCTAAAAGATGTTTGCAGAAAAATATATGAACATATTTGTTGTAAAATAGCCTAATCTAAAATTAGCAGAAAAGCATTTGAAAAAGCAGAAAGAGCATGTTTGCTGAATTAAGCAGCTGAAAGAAGTGGCTAAAATTATCATAAGGTGAATTTAGCTGAAAAAGGCAAAAATTAGCTGAAAATAGATTAAAAAAGTAGTTTAATGTGGAGAAAACAACTTAAAGAAGATTAAAACGCTTGCATTAGCAGAGGGAAGCTGATAGAATACACRTTTTTAAAACCAGAATAGCTGAAAAAGCAGAAAGAAAAAACTAAAATTACCACAAAGAATAAAAAAAAGCAGAACCAGAACAAAAGTTGAAAAGTGTAGGAAAGGTTGGACTATTTTAAGGTTGTTGAAGACGGCTCTAGTCAGTTTCTTTGAGAACAAAAATGCCCAAAAAGTCTAAATATCTAAAAGTATAAGTGGTGCCAGAATGTCATGAAGGAGTTGGATGTTTTTGATTTATGAATTGTTGAAATYGAAACAATTGWAGGATGAGATGCGTSCTGAAAATGTACACAAGAAAAACTGATCATCTCAAAAATCGTAGCATTAGTCTAAACTTTTACCTTTTTTATTYATGTAGGTGTCTCAGCTTTTTGTTGATGCTGTTCTGTCTATTGTTGGTGAATTTAGGAGACAGAAGGAGATCTGAGTACCAAGTGTTCCTGTGGAGTTTCTACAAACCAGAATCCTCCCATATGAACGTGGAGCCCATCGTTTATTCAGCCTTTTCCTCCTGTTTTTCTGTTGAATGCTAAAAGGTCGGGTGGTCTTTCATATCCCTGACTGGTTTCACCACCTGCTAATGGGRGGCAGGATCCTGTTCAAGAACACCCTGGAGGCCTACACAGATTATTACCTCCAGRACAAACTCAACCAGGTGGTCCTGGAGCACCGCCTCGTCTCGCTCATCACGCTGCTCAGAGGTGCACGCAAACGCTTTGCTTTCAGTGGTTTTCGTGCGATTTCTCAAACGAAGCTTCAACTTGTAAATCTGCTGTTGTCCTTCAGACACGGTTTTCTGTGAGAGCAGCTCACCGCGGTCGGCCCAGGAGAAACAGAGCAGAGCTAAGAGGACGTTRGATGAGATGATGAGCTATATTCCAGGTACTCTATACTAACCAGGTTTAATCTTTAGCTGTGTGGGTGAATGTTGTGTTGGCCTCAAATACAGGAGTTTTTTTTGTTTTTGTTTGTTTAGATGTTTTAGGAAAATGCATCGGCGAGGAGGCCAAGTACGAAGGTGTCTGTCTGCTCTTTGACGGACTGCAGCAGCCAGTTCTTAACAAACAGGTAGGAAACACACGTGTGTTGTTTTCACAGCGTGCTCGCTCCTCGGTTGTGTGAAATGTTTTGCTGCTAGGCTGCAGCAGTGACAGGAGTGTGGCTGTGACAGTAAACGAAATAGATTTTTGCTTCAGTTTTGCTTTCAGTAAATCCTCAGGTCTTAGGATGTAGTGCAGCAACGCTTTGAAACATCGTTTGTGCTGCATATTTTTACATTCATTCTGAATACRGTTGTCCTTAAAACTTGTTTTGGGYTTTTTCTCGGTCCTTCCTCAGCTAACATACGTGCTGCTTGACATCGTCATTCAAGAACTTTTTCCTGAACTAAACAAGGTAAGCATGCTCATCTCTTCATTATTATTGTTTTTTTCTTTAGGCTTCATTCATTCATTATACTAATGTTCAATTCAATTCAAAAATACTTTATTGATCCCAAAGGGAAATTATGTRCAGGATAATTTTTACATTAATGCTGAACCCAGTATTTTGTYGATAACCAGCAATACTATATGTGACCCATCACATCAAAATGAGCATTAAGTCCAAAAGTGATATATGGAGAAATAGGCAAATATAATGTTTTGATTAAAATGTTTGCAAAAATTGCATTTTGTCAAAACATAATGAATAAATGCCTTATCAATGTATCACTGTCTGAAATATAATCATAAAACAAAATTATGAAGCACTTTTTTTAGCAGTAGCAATAAAAAAACTGATTTTGAGGAAAAATGCCTCAAAATTTTGAGATTTTCCATGTGAACTAGAAATGTTTTGTTTCTTTTCAGC